GCGAACCGATGTCAGACTTTGCGAATCGAGCGATTCGCTAGCGTCTGCGGTCGCGTCGCGGCCAGTGAATCACTCAATTGGCTGGTACCGCAACGCGACCGCGGACGCTAGCGAATCGCGCGATTCGCAAAGTCTGACATCGGCCTAATCCGCTCCCTGTACGTTGAAATTCGCTTTGTTTGTCTAGATAAAATCTCATGAACAAACCTGCCAATGATCGAATCCCAACGTACAGGGCGCCATTTTTAGCTGATGTTTCTTAGTTCCTGGCTCTCCTGGCCGATTAACCATACACAACGTATTGAAGTCTAATGAAATCTGAAAATAACGCAATCATTATTGCGACTTCGAACCACACCTGCGTTTTGTCAGTCTTATCCGTGCAACGAGTTTGAGTGACTTTCTTGATGCCAGACATGGCAAAAGCCCAGGCGACACAAGTTGCGTTGGATATGTCGGCTGGGAAATGTATCTGAAGCAGTTCAGCATAATTTATATTTGCTTACTTGTCTGAAAGGAAACTGGAGTAACGCTCAAGCGTCTTTCGGACCTTTCACTTTCGCCCTGGTTTTTCCTCACACCTCTTCCCTCGAAAATTTACTACTCCCTCAAGAAATGAATATTAATGTCTTTTACAGTTTCTTTGAGCTAGTATTCACTGGATGTGGAATGGAGAGGGTAGGGTGCCCTACTTTATACGAGGACTCCACGATAAGGTCGAAGACTGGAGAAGGGGATTCCTATTTTGTGGGAAGACAGAGGGGCCCCTTGAGAGTGCGGACCGTCACTTATGCCCCGGCGAACCAACGTGTTCGTTCCCGCGCCTTTATCGTCTTGGCACGTCCAACAACTGATTGACTGCTCACTACTTTTCCCTAGCCGTATAGCCGAGAAAGATCGTAGACGTTGAAGAGGGCAGCACCGATGAAAGTCGCGCCAATGCGGAAATCGAAGAGTAAGGAAGGGATCCCATTCTCTCGGGTTCTAGGCTGTTTCTCATGATTTTGCTTTATCCCGGCAATACGGACCACCTCTACCTTAGTTTCATAGGCCTTCTTCGTCTTCAACCTAGTCTATGGCAAAGTCAGCTGTCCACTGTGCCGAACAATAGGAGAGAGGTTTAATAAATTTCTTGTGCCTCACGAGGTTGTTTGGTGGAACTTTTATTAATGGCCCAAAAAAAGAGTTCCACCAAACAACCTCGTGAGGCACAAGAAATCTATTAAACTCACAACTGACATGCCGAGGTTACAAGAAGAGAGAAGTTGGAGAATAGGAGGAGGATTCCGCCGCATACTTCGGTCTCTCACCCAAGGCCAAGCTCTCTAAGGATTTCAATTTAAACAGTTCATTTAATGGAGTAAGAAACATAGAGTTGCATATTCGCCACATCCTTCCGCACCTCTTACCCTTCCCTCAATCATGTGCCGTTGACTCCCCGAATCATGCGCCACGCTACAATGTTTTAATGTTGTTTGTTTGAAGGAAGGACTCGAAGGCTCTCGATTTGCTACAAATATGGGCGGAGTCACTTCGACTACCTGCTTATCTCTTCCCATTGGTGGACAGTTTGTTTCAAGATGGCAAAGAATAGGGGAGGTACCTATAAATTAGGGACAATGAGCCGTGATTTCGTCCATGTTTACCTTTAAAAAGTACCTTCAAAAGAGGTAGAGCTCTTCCAACCGGTTTCTCTGCTGAAATGTGACGAGCTTGACTTTTCAAGATATGTTCAAAAATTGACACTAACTGTAACCTCTTGTTTTGACTAGGAAGGCAGTCAGAGACCTTCCCACACCGGCCCACAACTACATACCAGGAAAGCAGGTATAATAGACGTGTTATAAATAACGTACCCGTCCGAAGAAATCACCTTCCATTGGCATGTGATGATCGGTGAACACGTTCTCGAGATACCATCGGAAGCTCTTACAACCGAGACGACGTCGAAGTTCAAGGCGCTCACTCAGATCCACGACACTTCGAAGTTTTCCTGTCTCTGGAACAACCTCGCTCGAATGAACTGGATTTTTCAAAAGCTTCACAAAAATGTGGCGATTTCTCACGTGGGGCTAGTTTGTAGAAAAGGAATTTCCATTCGTCCATCCATACTTCCGCTACGCGAACCATATTTCCGTCGAGGACCTGAAGAGCGATCAGTGTCAGGCGCTAACGGAAGGGACACATTGATGAATGACTCACTTTTCCAGAGGAATTTCCCGGAATGTCATGGGGTGAAGCATGACGGAAGATATGCCCAACATGGGAGCATGGCAGGATTTCTACTCGACCTCCACATTGCCAGATCTGAGAAGTAAAGTCAAAGTAACTTATAATTATCAACTGATTCCCTTTTAACCTAGGAAAATTAAAAATAGTTAACGCTTCCAGGCCCTGAAAGGACTTGAAATTGTGGCTAAAATCCATGGGTAATAGCGGTCTGTTCTACTGGTAACTGCTACTTACTCCACTGTGAGCTTACTGGTTTTAGTTTGTTTTGAGATTATAAAATCGATCTATATCACTAGAAAACAAACTTTGTTAGTTGTTCCAAAGAAAACAATAAAAACGGCGCAATGTGGTTCTAGGGGACGGGTGGGGGCACCCAGTAAAGTTGAACAGGTTCACGTATGTGAACACTCAGATTTAGGGCTGACCCCCAAAGGTGAAGTGGGAATCCGAGGCGCTTAAGCAATAAATCATGTTCTCCGTTGCGCTTATGGTTAGTCCTAGTGGCCTTCCTACAGACTGCCCCCACCCCCGGAGGCACATTGCCCCATAAAAGCTTGAAAAATTACAATACCGCAGAGACGCGTTTCATACTTCTTTTTTTTGCAAAAATTGAAGCGCTTTGTTCTACCAGGTCAAAAAGTATAAGGGTTACAAGGTAAGGTTGAGTAAGTAAAGGTAAACAAAAGCAGGTACATACTCGGAAGGAAATCTCCAAGTTTTCCCCGCCCCATATATCCATTCCATGATCGTAAGTGCCGAGTTCTTCAAAGTAGTGACGATCTATACTAAACAGACCGCCAGCCATTGTCGGTGAGCTGAAAAAGGAGAAGTTTCATGAAACAGCTGGTGAATTCCAATTATCCAGCCCCCATTCTGAACATACGGTATGGGAGAGGTTGGATCGACCAGACGTTGCTTAGCCATATCGGACGGCATTGCGTACCATCTGAAACAATGCTTCAAGAGACTTATAATAGAGCCCGAGGAAAGGGAAGAACCTGCCTAAATTGGAGATTCCAGTTGAATCCACCACGAAACATATCAAGACCCTTTTGATATTGAAAGGTACGATCATTGATGACATCGATGACAGGACAAACGACTGCTTTGCTGGAAAGTGATTGATTGTCAATTTGTCGAAACTGCTGATTATTGAATATGATTCAAAGATGATTGACCAAATTCTGATTGTGTTAATTATGCCCACCCTGCGCTCTCCAAAATACTGAATATTACAAGCCGGTATTTCGTTCCAATGCTTACTTGTTGCAGTTCGCGGTCTTTGAACGAGAGGGTTGCACTCGTGATTTTTGGGAAGAGGGGGAGGGAGGTCGCATTTTTGGGATGGGCAAGGTTGACAATCTCTGGAAGAAGTGCAAACGGTAGTCGTAAAAAGGGGGCTGTACTTAACCTTTTTTGACGATAGGCGAAAGTTATAATAGACGTAATAGGTGGACTTGCTGCTTCATGAAACCAATTACTCCTCCCGTTCCACAGGCTGTCGCAGGTAGGGAAGGAGTGGGCGGAGTTTGGCTGGGATCGACTGCGCTGTTAGGCGGTCGCACATTTTGAAAAAGTGCTCCGAACAAAAAAAGTGACTCTCAAACAAGGAAATAGCGTTTCGTTCGAATTGAATTGCAATTGGCAGACGTACCGGTTGTCCTTTATACGGTCAAGAAGCGGTTCCAACCATCCTTCGGTGCATTCACAATGGGAATCCAAGAAGGTGAGCACATCACCTGTTGCTTCCTTAATTTCAAAATAATAGGAGCTTGTGAATTTTGGCTTCTTAGACGTGGATTACCTGTGCTCCCATTAACCTTGCCCGACATCCAGTCCACTCGGTGTTTCGTTCGCAAATTTCACCCGGCACTGGATAGGTTTCAGCTCCTCATCCGGCGTGGATATTGATGAAAGCGAAAATGAGTACAGTCCAAGAAATGAATTCACCTCTCTGAAGACACGAACGGACTGACTTACGGGCAAAAGCATCTAACAGATGATCTCCTTCAGACATAGGCCGTCGTTCGTGAAACGATCAGCGACACATTTGAGTAACGTAGGGGAGTGTGGAAAAGGCACTCGTTGTGATACACCAAGAGAACCGAGAGATCGACGGGTATCGGAGACGTCTAAATACTTCCCTCTATAACACACCCTTCAGAACTGATCAGACAGGTTTGTTACCTCTTTATACTTTTTTCGCCTCGACCGATTCGTCCGGTAAGTCGCCAAATACCTGTTACAAGCTGGATCGTCACTCACAAACAAGGCTGAACTAAAATGGAAAAATATAATAGTTTTGGCGACATCTGTCTGCCTAGCATAGTGTTTTACATCGGATACATCCGCATAAGTGCATGTTTGGGTCAGAGGCTCAGCGGAGCTTAAACCCGCTTTATACGCACTACTTCGATATCCGCGGCGTCCACAGTGTAAAGGGGTTAAGACTAAGTCTCAGAAGTTGACGACCGGTTGTTAACAGTCTTCGCGCTTTGAGAAAGACTCCCTTCTGGATTTAGTCCTGGGCTCATAGGTACTAAGAAGCGACATAAGCTGAGAGCAGTCGTTTATTCAAAAACTCACGCCAGCCAACTAGCCTCTAGGGCAGACTGTGCACCGCAATGCCCCACCACTCCTCCCCCCCCCCCTTACTGGAGTAGAACCTAGCATTCTTCGATGAACACAAATTTGGAGAATTCCGACCACAGATAGAAAAAAAATTGAAAAGAGATGAAAGAAGATGTATTAGGGAGGAAGACTAGACAATTTTAAAAATGTGACTTTTGATTTTCATGAGCAAATCGATCATTTTGATGAATTGAAGTCCAAAGTGAAACTACTTAATATAATGGAATTGGTATGTGATTAAACATAGCCAATCATTAATCAACTGCAGCATGAGGGAATTCAACAATTGGGGTATCATCCAGTAAGGGGGGGGGGACATGCGGTGTGACTTTTGTTTCCACCTACAGAAATTCCAATTACTGCAGGGAGACAAAATCTCCGGGACACGTGAACAATTTCGCTTTTGCTCTGACACGTACCCCTGAGCTTCCTTCCCTGCAAAAAATTGAAAGCGCAATATGGACTGTCACACAACATGCCCCCTCTTACTGGATGGAATCATACGATTGTACACGATGAGAAGGTATATAAGGAAATAATGCAAAGATGATGAACTTTGTGGTGTTACCTGATTGATTCCGAAGGTCTCATCAGAAAGACGTTCATCCTCCTTGGACAATCGCACAGCTCGCCCTCCTTCACCCCAACCAATCGGATTGAAATTGTTCGCATTGATTTCTTCTGAATAATCATTGTTTTGGAAAATTCCCCCAAATTGACGCATTCATCATGCACATTTGCTGCCAGCCTGCCTAGCGAGAAAGGAGCCCATTTGATAGGAAATTCGGCCTAGGACCATGTGTTTGTGTAATGATTTACTCAATCTTGACTCATAAATAGGGAATGGGGAAATACTCTCAAAGGTGCTGGTAATAGCATGAGCGAGCACATGAAGCAGGTCTTCGTTCCTACGTCCGGTTTCGCCACAGTTGCAGCTTACCAGGTACATCCTTCATATCGTGTCCCGCTTTTTATGGCGGATTTTACATGAAAAGAAAGCCCATTGGAAATTAAATTGGATGGTCACTGACGCACGAAAGAAGAAAATTTTCTAGAGCTTGAAAAATGGTACTCCTCCTTTGCCCGTTGACCGCATTGGTGCGATTTTCATCGGTGCTGCCCACTTCAACGTTAACGCTCCTTCTGCTGAACGGCTAGAGACTCACAATCAGGCATAAGACGATGCGATACGAGGGGGCTACCGGGCCGGGTACCCCCAGGAGGCCCGTCGCGCGGCAAGAAGGCAGAGTCGCGGACGAGTCGCAGCGCGTGATGTGCGATGTAGGACGTACAATGGACATTCTATTTAACTTGACGCGAAATCCCTACAGTACGCGCGCAACTCGTCCGCTGACTCGCCTTCTTGCCGCGCGACGGGCCTCCTGGGGGTACCCCCGAGCCAATAGCACGCCATTTAGGCCGCGGGGAAGGGTCACGCTAGATCGCCGGGCATATCCTCAATGCGAATCGCGTATCGGCTGCACTCTTAATTCTCGCCGTCTTTTCACCAGTAAGCTTCCTTTCTCGTCGACGCTCATCCTTATTGTTAAATTCTGCTTTGAGAACAGTTTTCGCATGATGTGGGGCATATGCATGGAACGCAGAATTATGGTTTTTGATGTGGAGCTCGGAATGTCAAAGAACGAATTAAAAAAGTTCGAGTGCTACAGTTTTAATACCAGTTTTTGCAAAGTACCCCACTTCACGAACACGGGTTCCATTTTGACACTAGTGCAAGAGCCAACCAAAAAAGCAAGACTAATCGTATCACCATGGGAGGCCTTCAGAGACAGCTGCGAGTGAAAGTAAAGCATAGTTCCAGTTTAGCCCTCCCCTGCTAATAATACACAAACACGGTTTCGAGGCAGGTGAATATCGCTAGATTCTTCCAACGGACGCGGGTGGTTTCGCGCTATCCTTGCGTTCTCCTGCGCGAATTTCACTTTCGCCACACGCGCACAGCATAGCGTCCTCTCTCGCGCGTACATCAGTATCGGCTTACTCTCGCGCACAGCTAAAAAAGCGATGGTCGACACAATTCCTGCGCGTTCAGTAAAACCTGGTCGGCAGAAAGGCGGAACCCGACCTTCGATGCCCGACTCGCTTAGTGCGGCTACGTCGGCAGCACACTCAGACACATTAAAATTATCGCTCCATTATATAGATTTTCAGGTACACTCGCACCAAGTAGCTAAAGGGACCCGCAAGTCCGATGACTAAAAAGGACTGTCGCACAAAGCTATCAGTAATTACTTTTCAACGCTTGCAAAACTAGTCAAAGTGGCCAATGCTCATACAGCTTCTCAATTGATATATTCGCACAGCTCACATTATGAGCTATTTTCTATGAATGTCTGAAGCTCTTCAAAAGCCACAAATGTACACCGATTTGATCGTTTGAGTGAGTTTCCGCACAAAATGCCACAATCCCTCGCACAACTCTTTTTTCGTGATGAATAAAAGTATCCCCCTCACGTGTGACACCAAAGAGTTCAAAAAATAAGTTCTCATCGTCCGTGAGAGTCCTAAATTCTCCTGTGGCAGTGTTACCTGGTATGTGCGACCGACGACCTGCCACCCCTTACCAATTGCTCGTGACGGTCTTTCATAGCGTTAGATGGATCTGTTCAACTGGAAAACAGTCACGAGCACCATTGCATTAATTGACCTGACATGTCATTACTAAGCAACTACAGATTTGTGGTTGGCACCATCCCGCTATTCTAACGCCTACTGTTTTATTGCTATTTTCCCGAAGGAATTGACCCCCGAGGAACCCCTTTGTTATGTTTGGCGTCCTTCGTGAGGTTTGCGGACTCACATAGTTGGTGTCCAGATCCGCGGCTTGTAGGGTTGGCTGCCAGCACGGCCTTCCACTTCTTTGGACCCTTGGCCCCATCCCATTCCAGTTATTCTTTTGTTCCTGTTTAAAATTCATGGCTATTTTAATGTAAAATTTCGCCCACCTGCTACTCTTAATATATTGAAACTACGTCACCATGAGCTTCAGAAAAAAAACACATTAATGTAAAAAAGCCCAAACGCTAGAGCATTGAACATCTCATAACTATGATCTAGAAAATCACTAGGTACTACTGATCAAAAATATTGAAAAATCAGCAAATAAAAGCAACGAGATCTTACCGTATCTTGTATGTACAGTATCACAATAGTCAGTGTGCACCATACCAACAGAAATCCAAGCACTATCAGTAGATACTGGAGAAATTTTCGCATTTTTCGTCTACTTTTATACAGCAACATCGTGGACGATTGAATGGTACTGATCAGAAGTACAGCCAAGCTATTGACTATCTACGGATTTCCCAGCGTGAAGCCGGGTGGAGAATGTCTATGCAGACATCTGAAATTAATCTGGGATCATATAGCTCAGAACACATTAACACCATAACGGGAGTATAACGACCTCAATAAAGATGTGCCCAAAAGCCTCAGGACTTTTTGAGAAAACTCAAATTCTGTGCTCTTTTCTATTCTTTCGTTTCTATCAAATATAGTCAGGACAAAGGATTCAAGTGATCTCTTCCAGTCGCGGACTGTTCCGCCGCTTGCAGTAAAAACATCAAAAGTTCCAAAAATGCAGCTACAGTAGTGACTGAAGCAGGCCGCGTGGATGATTATGCCCCTGTTTGAAAAAAAAAACAATTGGAGGGCTTTCGCAAGATGCAGGGCATCCTCTAAAACTTTGCCAAGACGAGGGTAGGAACTTCGGGGACTCTGAAAATTTTTCGCTCATCTCGGAGTCTTTCCTCCCAGCATAATGGTTAGTCCCGTTTCTAGGAAAAGGAGGTACTACGTGTTTTTGAACGCACTGCTATCAAAATGACCCCGTATCTTGCGATACCGCCACAATCAGTGTCACTTCTACAATTGAAATTTAAGTAGTTTTGGTTCATCTCAAATTAGAAAGTGAAACATGCCCATCTTGAGTTTTCTCCAAATGTCCCAAGGTTTAACGAAATAAATAACAGTTTATGAGGGAAATCATCAAGATAGAACAGGAACAACAATGAGACAGAATGCAAGGAAATGGCAGAGATTTCGAGCTACGCCATGAATTCACCCTATTCGTCGTCATTTTAAATTAGTATGAAGTTTGAATTCGAAATGGAATATCGAACATGATGAATGGTTTAATCTTATAGAATGAAAGCTTGAACATGAGTCATGAACGATTTTTATAAAAGTCCACATTATAAATACTGGAGGGCAAAACAAGGAAAAAGTCTACTCCGTGTTCCATAAGAGCACTAGGACAGAGCTAAACACACAGACGGCCGAAGTACATTTATGAGTAGGTCATGTTATTATATATGGATTTGTCACTGCATTTATTAAGCTTATTGATAAAGGAAGTGGTGCTGTTGACCAGGCGCACTGCCCGACTGCCCGAGAACCAAATCCTGGGTCACACGCCGCCCCACTGAGCCTTCCATACCTCCTGAATGGACATTGACACCATTCTTGCTTATGAGAATGGAACCACTAACTGTCAATCGCTTGGCGTTCACAGGTCATTGTATAGGTCAAAAACCATTCAAACGACACTTCAATTCTTATTAGAAGTGGGATGTGTGGCGCATCCCTCAAACAGAGATTGATCAACGATTAATGATTTATCCTCGATCCTTGGTCTATTAAGATCACCTTATTGTTTTCAATAACGACTCCTTTGTCAGAGGAACTAATGACTTTTTCATGCTAAAATATTACATCAATAACTTCGAATAAAAGTTCGAAGGAAAATGTTACTCAATTCTTTTTTGGGTCTCTAGTGATCTTGTTATTATTTGGTTCATTACTATTTGTGTCCATTTTTTCAACTTTTCTGACTGCAATGTTGCAAAGCACAATTGGTTTGGCCACTTATTGGTTACGGCGAATAAATAAATAAATAAGTAGTTCAGTGGGTAAGCAAATAAATAGAGATAAATAAATAAATGAGTGAATGAATAAAAAACAAACCAATAAATGAACCTGCTGTTCAGCACTTATCAAAGCGCAGGTAACCGGTTACACAAGCGACAGTAATCGTGCACCATTGAAACTCCATTGAAATACCAACTGTAAAGTCACGTACACTTGCCCGATGGAATCAATTCTTATACGATTAGGTTTTCCTGCCCTTCTTACGTTTCGCACTTTGGCACAGCGCTGTCTGTAATTTCGAATGCCTTGTCAATAGCGAATGCCATAAAAGGCTAAACGACACGGCAAATTCTGGGTTATTTCGGCTCCGAAAGGGCACAGCTTAGGGTCGGCAAGCTCCACGTACCCACTGCCGTGGTGGTCAGCACCTATTCACAAGGGCGTCTTTTAGGGTGTGGGGCGCTTTTTCAAAACGCTTTTCTGCATGCTGTAGGGGCTCTTGAAATTTTTCGTCACTTGGCGGAATTGAACCATTTCTTCAGTATTTTTCAGCCTTCGTGGGACCCCTCAGCGAAAATGAACCTTGGTTCTGTGGTCTAAGTATGAGTTCCTATGGAAAGCAAATTGCGTCCTCCATTGTTAGGCAAATTATCCTACGATTTAGTCTAAGGCCGATGTCAGACTTTGCGAATCGCGCGATTCGCTACTAGCGATTCGCTAGCGTCCGCGGTCGCGTTGCGGTACCAGCCAATTGAGTGATTCGCTGGCCGCGACGCGACCGCGGGCGAATCGCTCATTGGCAAAGTTTGACATCGGGCCAAATAAAACAATATTCATTTTGAAAGACAAGATTGGCGTTGACATGAGCTGAGCTCTCCCAACTAATTCATAAGCGTTCGAGTGTTTTTTCAGTAGTAAGGCGTAGCTGAGTTCATGGCGCATTCAGACTAGTCAGCGAGAAGCTGAGCTCCCAGCGACATCAGAAAGTAAGCGATTGATTACTCCTGGGAACAGTATCCTGTGAGGCTATACTCCGCGCCATGAGGGCCCATGAGTACTGTTTTGACCTTGATTTTGCAAGAATCTGCTTGGTCACCTTCCCGGTGTCTGTTCGGTTTTTCTGGCCTGGGCTGCAGAGCTTTGGTGCACTGGCTTTATTGAGTTGTATGCACCAAAAATGGAAGTTAACGTGCATGCTCGTTAACAAACGAGCCACATCGTTAGCCAAATCCTGCAAAATCCTGCAATTTTCCTTCAGATTTCACTTTCTGAAGTTTGCGAGACGTTTTTTTTTTCGAGCGCCAATCTGTGGTGGTTTTTTCAGTGAGCGCTGAAATTCAGCGATTCCAAATCAAACCTGTTCATCAGCTCAGCACGTTGACAACGCAGGCACTTCGTTGTGTGTCCGGTGCGCGGAACGACGCTCATTTTTTGCGCAAAAATACGTTCTAATGACAGGACGCGCCATATTACCAGTTCAGTGTACTTTGCGAATTTTAGAAATATTCACTTGAAAATAAATAACGCAGACGCAAATAAACAACAAAGATAAATAGCAGCGCGAACTGCGGCGTAAACAACAGTTACCCTCCCCTTCAAAAAGCGAGAAAGTGTCGGGTGCAGACCATGCACCACAAGTGACGACGGCCTTCACAAAATGTTAATGTTTTCTGCCAATGAAATGATTAGCCTGTTGCAGTTGTATTCTATCGATTGTCACTAATTACAACTATCATTTACCAGAAATCAGCTATCACTATGAACAACTTCTAACCAGATTTACTTGGAGGCCGTCGTCAGTCAACTAATAAATTCCATGTTCGGTTTTCTTGGAACCTGGGCATTTCGGATATTGTGTTGTTTCTTCTGTGCCATACAGGTTGTTATGGTGGAACACGTTTATTGGTCAACGTTTCGACAATTCGTCACGAAGGCTAGCTTCCGAGATTGCAAGAGCGAATGGTTATGGAACGAGGAACGAAGAATCAGGCTCTCAGAGAAATGCCGCGAGAAATCGCGAAGCTTCACGAAGGCGTTCCGCGAGAAGTCGCGAGGAGTCACGAGGGCGTTCCGCGAGGTCGCGAAGAGATGGCGCACCTCCAGTTGCCTTTCATATCGGATAGAATTAGCATGGCTATACGGCAGTGCATTGCACGGGCGGATCTAGCTGATGAAGTCGTTTTGATTAATATACCAGGAGACAATCTTAAGCGTCAGCTAATCCGCAACAGACTCTATGACCGCGCGTGCACCACGAATCACTGCGTTGTTTGCCCATATGGAAGGCAAGGAGACTGTGCGCAACGAGGGATAGTATACCAACTTCAATGTTCAACCTGTGACGACTTTATATTGGAGAGACGGGCAGGATGCTAGGCGTGCGCATTAAAGAACATATGGCAGGAAAAAGGCGCGGAAATCTGCTTACTCCACTTGGCAAGCACCGAGTAGAGGGACATCAGGGTAACGATTTTGAAATCAAATGCAAAATTCTAGCCTACGAAAACGACATCGGTGCTAGAAAAATGTTAGAGGCGTTTTATATCCGCGTGAAAAATCCAAGACTGAACAACCGTAATGAATGCATGGCCATTACCAATGAATTCTTGCCTTTCATGTCCTTTGGTGTCTCATTTTATTCGCTCACTAACAAGAAGAGGAGGCTGCAAAGACTGGTGGACTCGCCACAGGTTAGTTCGCTCGCTGGGATCGTTTATTTTGTACTGTTTCGCTTTTCCGGGAACTCAGTAAGATTAGGCGCCTTACCGGGTGAGCTACAGAGCTAGGACTTCGAACCAGTTTCAGGTCCTGAAGACGACGAATTGTCGAAACGTTGACCAATAAACGTGTTCCACCATAACAACCTGTATGGCACAGAAGAAAACAACACACATGGCCGTTGTTTGTCCTGTGTGGTCTGCACTGGACCCTTTCTCGTGTTTGTAAAGGGAGCGTTACCTGTATGTCAAAAATAAACAGTCAAAAGAACATCTAATAGTGATTTTCAGCCTTGCGTGTTTACTCGCCGATATCGGCAGAATCTGTTACACCACTTACAAGTGTGAGAACAGTAATAAGCTATGGTAACTTCACCATCGAAGCTGAGTTGGGGTGAAATGGTGCCCCGGTGGTGTAACTGGTAGCACAATTGCCCGGAAAGCAAGAGATCCGGGTACGAGTCCCGGCTGGGGCGAGAGTTTTGCCCACAACTCAGCATTCTTGTGCGATTAGCACAAATTGCTGGAGCTAGTCGGCCAATTATACGGGCTGGGCTTCCGTGAACGCCTGTCCATTTTTCGTGTAAAGTGTCAAAACGTGCCAGTCATGCTATTAACCGAGCACGGAGGCTAGCTTTTCAGAAGAAGGAAGAGAAG